AAAGTACGGCGTGGAGATCATAAAGCGTTACAGAAAGGGCCGCGCTAAGGATGCAGCTATAACAGGAGACGACGTGACTTTTGCAGAGTTTGTTCGTTACTTGTTAGACGAGGACGTGGAGCGCATGAATGAGCACTGGATGCCCATATATAACTTATGCCAACCTTGTGCCGTTTCTTATGATTTCATCGGGTCCTACGAGCACCTGGAAAGCGACGCGGAGTTTGTGCTCCAGCATGTTGGAGCGCCTCCTCATGTTCACTTTCCAGAGAGGCAAACGTGGTACAAGCCGGTCACCACGGAATCAATACACTATTATTTATGCAGCTTACCACAGAAGCTACTGAGAGAACTCCTGCCCAAGTACATTTTAGACTTTTCTCTATTCACATACCCTCTCCCCAACACAACCGCTGCACACTGTCGGCATTAAATGAGCAATGCTTTATAGTTGTATTATTTCTTTTATAGAAAACCGTTTGTACTATTTTTAAGGAACAAATTGTATTTTCAGAGCTGTTACACAGGTTTACTTGATGTCCGCGTGCCTTTTAAAAGTGCTGATTATTGGACGAGAAAGACTTGACTTCAGAACCACTAAAGCTTGAAATCAAATTCAAAAGAAAAGGTCAACCAAACCACACGTTATGTCAGCTGTTACAGTAATTATATCTACTCAGTATACAACGATGGAAATATTAATATGGTTGCGAGACCAAACTCTGTTTTTATTTGTTGCTCTATACACTGTAGACCTTAGAAAAAAACTGTTCAGTGGTTTTAGTGTGCATTCAGTGGTTTAGCAGGCTAAAACACGCACCATGTGCTGAGATGGTCGAGGGTTTCATATCAAGCTTATTTAATGCTCAATCACAGCCTCTCGTTGCCAGCTCCTCTCCCTCTTTGATGTAACAGATTATTTACCGTGTAATAAAACTGAAGTTTACCTTTTCTGATCTACGTTGTTGCAGTTTTTAATTACTTTATTTATGAATAATTTAAGCATTGTTAAAAACATCAATAATATACATAATACAAAAAAAAAGTCACACAAAATAAACACTTGCTACATGTGGTTAACGATGGTGGGAATCACATTCATTTTTTTGGGACTTCTTTATGAAGTTTTTGTTTTTAAATCAATAGAAAATACTTTATCTACAGTGCAAGTAACACATTCAAAAAACATTGTTAGAAATGTGAGAACAATCTTCACCTTTAGTACAAACGTTATTTATTTCAGCTCTGGTTGCCCTTTTGTTGAACGGAACAATAAAGTTTCTCTGAGGTACTCCGCAGGTTAAACTGTGGTTTACAGAGGCCTTCATTTTTTTATGTCCAAAGTCAAGACATCACTCACAAGCTTCTAGTGGGTTCTGACTCACTTATCAGTGCCTTCATTTAATCTTTATTCCAATCAATCCTTGAAGCTCACACTCCTAAAAACAAAAGGGAGGAAGAGAGGTTTTAAACACATGATAAGTCATAATAATGGCAATAAATCAAGCCTCAACATTTTCAGCCTCAACCTAAGATCATATTGGTTTTAAATGTCTTTCACCTTACATCCCAAATTGTTATGTTTATGGCTTACTTGTCTGCTGATTTATCAGTGGAGTGATCAAGAGATCGGAGGATGGAGCGTTCTGGTGAGATGTGGTGAGAGCTGCTGGAGACGCTGAGGGATGATGAGGTTTGCAGGGTTGAGAACGACAGACCCTGTCTGCGCATTTCCTGAACTGCCCTTTCACTGAGGTGAGAGAGAGAGGAGGCAACAAAACAGCATCAGCATATTTGTATCTGCGGTCACGTCCTTGTAGCTACACCAAACCCGGTCAAGCAAAACTGTATAATGATTGTGTAAAAATACTGGCGGCACCAATGCCCCGCCTCAGCCTATTAGTTGCTGCGCCTATGGGATCAATTTGAAAAATTCAAATTATCGTGTTGACAAGATTTTCAGAAAACTGCTGAGGGGTAAAAATGAAGAGTGAGTTTGTTTTGGAGAATTAAATGTCAGAAATCGTTTCATCCAACTTCAAATGTATTTGACTGGCCAATTTTCACAGCTAAAATTAAAAACCCAACATAATTACTCTTTTTTTTTAGTGGAATGATATTTAAGACTGCTGTTACATCAGCTGTATTTACTCGTGTTATTAAGCTGCAGTAGCTGAGTGATATGATGGAATATTGCATCAATCCTCACGGATGTGGTGCACTCAGGGTGAAATTTTGATAACCAAACATTTCTGGTTCAGAGTTAACATTAGGTGATTACCCAAAAAATTAATAATGACATAATTTTTCCAATGCAACACACTGGTATCACCTGCTCTGTATTAAGTAAAGAGCAGGTGAAAGTAAGTGCTTTCATGGGATGAATAGAGTTGCAAAAATACTTTTTTTTTTGGCACTTTTGAGATTTTCGGTCTCATGTAATGACAATATTGATTTCTTTTTGATTAATCTAGAAACAATTGCTGTCAGATTCATCAATAACACCCACAGATAGACTGATAGGTTACTTTATTAATCCCAAAAGAGAAACTGCTATTATAAGCATCACTGTAAAGACAAACAGTCGTGTAGCTCACCGCTCAAAGCGCTCAGTGGTCAGCTGCCTTTTCAGAACGTCAATCTCTGTCTGCAATTGAGAGACTTTGCCGCGGAGCTGGGACGCCTCCCTGGCATGCTCTGCACTTTACACAGACACACAAGTTACCAACTTTTTCTTTAGGAAGGAGATTTCTTTTAACAAGTAGAGTGAACTGGATTTATTTACATTTTGCTGTCAGCCAAGGTGAGCCGGTCTCGTAGCACTTTCAGCTCTGACTCTCGTTCGCTGGCTGTCAGATGTGTTTGAAACTCCTTTTGCCGATTTGTGGAGAGCAGCGTCTCGAGGTTACGCACAGTCAGCCGCTCACTGGCTAACTGCTTCTTGAGAATCTCCGCCTCTGACCGGACATCCTCCAGTTCTCCTGTAACCTAAAAACAAAAAGCAAATATCATAATTAAGTTCGAAGGAGAACAGGATGTGAACAGTTTCCTGCCAAGACCAGAAAAAACACTGTAATAAATAAGCCGGCACCACAGCAAGCCTCACCCGCTCGAGGTCCATGCTCCTGGAGGTGAGCTGACGTGCAGTGAGTTCCTTGCTCGAGTCTAGTTTGACACATAGCTCCCTAACTGAAGCCAGATCTGCGAGGAGAGCAGCCTTCTCTTCCTGTGCTTTGTGTAGCTCTTCCTCTAATCGGGACATCCCACGAACCAACGAGGAAACTTGCGCCTCATAAGCCTGGATCGCCTGCATGTGCTTGGAGAAACAGAAAAAGGGTGCATTTCAAACACATTTGTTTAAAGACTGAAATTAACATTCATTTAACTTGTTTACCTAGAATAGCAGCTAGAAATGTCTCTGTAATCTTTTTCCAGTGCCACATCTCACCTGTTGGATTTCCTTTTCCTGTTGGCCGACTGCATCTCGGAGGTGTCTGCGTTCTGTGTCTGAAGAGAGCAGCTCCAGGCGGATGGAGTTGCTGAGGCCTTCAGCCTGCTGTAACTTTTGGTTCCGCTCCTCCATCTCAATGTGGGACAACCTGAACCGCTCCAACAAATCCCTGTTCTCTTGCTCCTGTGGGTCAACAGAGCTGTCAGAAGAAGGCTTCTACAAGGGCTTCCAGGTAATTATAATATGTGTAAAGCCGCAAACAAAAAATACAGGGATACAGCACAGGGATATGTTCTTGCCTTTGTGGCAATCAGCTTCTCTACTCTGGCCACTTCAGAAATGTAAGAATGGAGCCTCAACTTGAGCTCATCCTTCTCATGTAAAGACTCTTCCATTTCTGCATGTACAGCCTGGACAAAAAAGATGCAGTGTCACTTCTATTATTTTGGTACATGACACAGAAGACTCAACATTGATTACAGTAATTGTGATTTTTTTTTTTTATTTACTTGGTTCTCTCTGGTCATTGTGGCTAGGTCATCTTGCAGTCTCCTGTTCTCTCGGATTGTAATTTCCTTCTCTCTCCTGAGTCCAGCCAGCTCCTCCTGAGACGCATCCAGCTGTCTCCTGAGGCTGTTCAACTCCCTCTCACGGCTGTTTAATGCTCCTTGAAGCTGACTGAAAGAATTTAAAATATTGGTTCATAAAAATAAAAACTTTATTTCTAACGTTGGGTTTTTAATCCTAATATTTACTTAAATAAAACCGACATTGAACCCCAAGAACACAGTACTCACGCTAACGAGCTGTCCATGTTTGTGACTGTGAGTCTCACGTCTTCAAGGGTCTTTTCCTGTGTAAATATCAAAAAAGTTAACCCAATCAATTTTTAAAAAAAAAGGTTTAAAAGCAAAAGCAAAAGGCAATTCAAAAAAAAAACCAAGGGGAATTAAGTAACGGAATTAATCCCTCCCTCATGTGATTCCAGTGTATGAGTACAACTCATCATCCAAAGCCTTCTTTTTGTACAAATCCATGGTTTGTTTCTTGAGCCACAGAATAGTTCATATAATATGTTCTTTGCAAACAATAGCTAGAGTGGACACATCTCTCCATTAGTTATGTAAAGAAAGCTTTCAGTTATAAACCGGTTCTTGTGTGACACACTCAATGTTTCTATCACAGATTCAGTCTCAGCTTCAGACCCACTACTCCCATAATAAATCCATTAAGTTTATCCGGAGGGACAAAGAAGACAGAGCTATTTAGTTAGATCCACTCTTCTTTTGACCCAAAAGACTGGGCCACAAAACACTGAACTGGTGTACGCATACTAGGCACAGTTGACTTACACAGCGTCCAAGCACAATTCTCCATCCAGGTCCAAGTACGCTTGTGTTTCTCTCAGCATCTCAACTCCTCTCTCGTAGTTGCTCTCAATTGCACACATGGTTATGAAAAGTGCTCTTGTAGAGCACAAAGAGGCTCATGATTTTATTTGAAATATATTTCTTTTGGAAGTGGTTATGGAAGTGGTTGTCTTACATGCCTCAAAGAGTTAATTATTTGACTGCAATTTTCACAGAGACAGCTGGCACAGTATCCAGCGATCACACCCGTCACATGAACTGGACATTAGGGGTCAGATGTGAGATTTGACCTTTAAGATTTCACATATGGACATGAAATTCGATCCTTTCATAAAAGTTTGTAATCTTGAGCCTTTAAAAATAAATAAATAAAATACTACCTTGTTGGATAGTTCCTCCTGAAGAGCAACCAGTTTCTCAGTCTTTTGATCCACCTCATCCTGCAGAGCATCTTTTTCTTTATCCAGGGCAGAGATTGACTTGTGAAGAACAGCTACTTCCCCTTTGTGCTTGGAACTCTGCTGACTCAGCTCCCCTGGAAGGCAAACGAAAATTCAGCAAACAGGAAACGGAGCTTTACGGAAAATGAAAAAAGCGTAATGACTGTTTCAACATATTCACCTATTCTCTCCTCAAGTTTTTCTATCTGCACATGGGAAGCATGCAGCTCATTCATCTTCACAGATAGCCTGTGCTGAGTATCAGACAGTGACTTCTCCATCTGCTCCTGTAGCAGCCTACAGACAGGCAGGGAAAATCCCATCAGCTCTCCAACAACTGGTGACAAGTATAACAATCCCTAAGTGCAGCATCAAGAATGATGACGTTTCAGATGAGGAAGTCTAAAGAAACCAATATGTTCTATTTTTGAGCTTAATACATTTTGGGGACTTTTTGTATTTGGTGTGATTAAAAATAAACTAAAAACAAAAACGTTGCTATTCCGTCCTATAAAAATCATAAATCAAGGTCATATCTTTGTGCACGAGGACAGCTTCCAACACAGCTCCCAGAAGTTCTGTTCGGACCACTCACAGAAAACCATCTGCATTGTTAGACTTGCACACAGAGCAAACATAAACTTGAACTAGAAGTTTAATGCTAAGAATCATCACTGATGATGAAAGCTGTGTATCTGG